CGTCGCAGTGAGAGCAATCATTTTAGGACCATCAATCACTGGTAACACCACCTGAGATTGCAGAATCTATGTTGGGCTCTGCTGAGTCCCTTTAACAGCGGTGTGATCCTCTTACCCGCGTCTGCCTCCCACTGCTGGACCTGCAGGTACCCGGCCTCCTTCGCCGCCCAACTGGCACTTCTGGGTCCCGGCCCTCCTCCACGCCCGACTGGAATCTGGACCCGCCCCTCGACAGATCTGGACCAGCTCCCCGATGTGGATCCGGACCCGCCCCCTCCTGCTGCTCCTCACTTCTGCCTCCGCCTCCTCCTCCTGATCGATTAGGCAGCTGGGGCTTGTCTGTGGATCCAGGAATCAGGTGAGTATATTAAAAAAAAAGATACATTTTATGTCCCCGGGGACTCAATTTGTCCAGGCACGGTCTCCTCAATCTGGGGACTGTCCCCACAAATGGGGACCTACCCGCAGCATTTCCCTATGCACATACTAGAAGTTGGAGTTTTCAACAGAACACCAGGCCCCTGCAGCGCCAGTCCGAGGGGCGGGAGAGACGCAGGGAAAGGGACCCTGACACCCCCCACCTGAGACTATGCAGAACCCACCCTAGATAGTTCTAGATGGGCTGTACAGGATCTATAGTGGGCTCTGGTGGATCCAGTGCGTTACTAAGCCCAGAGTCCAATTCATATACTGTTGCTGCATTGCTGTATAATGTATTAAATGATAATGAATGTGCTGCGCTTCATCTAGAACAGCGGTTCTCAAACTGTGTTACCACAGGACCCACATTTGTCCTCGGCCATTAGGTCGTGACCCAAGTCGCACTGCAATGGCATTGTGGTACCGCGCATTCCGGTGCGATCTTACGAACCCTGGGTGGGAGGTGCATTTGGGGTACCATTCAAATGAACGGCAACGCAACACACCTCCCACAACCGGAATGCGCGGTAGGTGCGATTGCGTGGTACAGTGCGTTAATCGAACGGGTCCTCAAAAACACTGACACACTCACAGACATTCTCACACACACATACACACAAAAATGTATTTAATGGAACTGTTTGTAAGGTCCACCCAGTCTCCCAACCTTCCGAGAACTGGAGTGGATCCTCAGCCTGGGGTCCAGCGTGGGCTGCTGTGCTGTGAAGGAGCTCCATCCATATGTGCAGTGCTGGTACAGCTCCCTTGCGTGCCCTGTAGAGGTGCCGGGAGCCAGAATGTGATGTCATTTCGGTCCAGGCACTTCTACAGGGCATGTGAGGGAGATGTAAGCACTTCACGTATGGATGGAGCTCCCTCACGGCCATAGCCCCATCCCATCTCAAGCTGACACTCGGCGCCGGGCAGCATATTTTGCATAGCAGTGTGGCGTGAGAACTGACAGCGCTGCGCTAGGGGGTGCAGAGGATCTTCTCACCTAAAAAAGTGGAAGGCATGCGGTGACCCACTGAAAACAGGGTCGCGACCCACCAGTTGAGAACCAAGGATCTAGAACAATATATAAACAAATAATAAATATGTGCTTAAATAATACACGCAATCAAAAAAGTGTTCACAATGAATCTTCTTATAAATAATAGTCCTCTGGAAGGTCCAATCCTATATTCCGTGTCCAGATATGCACACGGTTTGATCTGTCTTTGCACCCAGAGAACACGGTGACACGGGGAGAGGGTTGTCGGGAATACATTTTGGTTGAAGTTTTATGTCTACTTTCCTCATGTGAGAAGTTTTTTGTAAATAAAGGAGGTATTTTAATTTTGCGTTTTTTACGCTCTGGGGCTGTTTTTATATTTTATTGGATACGGTGGTGATGACGCGCTGACGTCACTTTCTGTGCGACGATTGTGGAGAGACGGCCTTTGCATGAGATCGATTGGAGACCCATTAAAGCGATTCTAGACCTGTCCAGGTCTATTTATAAGGTGAGCGGCCCGCCGAGAGGAGGAGCACCGGGGTGATAATTGGAGTTGACGTATGGACTTTGTACAAAGGACTTTCACAGTGGTAGGATAAAGAGCGCGGTGCACTAGGGACAAATCCTGAGCACTATATACATGTGATTCCACATCTGTGTATATCTGAACACGGAATATAGGATTGAACTTTCCAGAGGACTATTATTTATAAGAAGATTCATTGTGAACACTTTTTTGGATTGCGTGTATTATTTAAGCACATATTTATTATTTGTTTATGTTCTAGAGGAAGCGCAGCACATTCATTATCATTTAATACATTATACAGCAATGCAGCAACAGTATATGAATTGGACTCTGGGCTTAGTAACGCACTGGATCCACCAGAGCCCACTATAGATCCTGTACAGCCCATCTAGAACTATCTAGGGTGGGTTCTGCATAGTCTCAGGTGGGGGGTGTCAGGGTCCCTTTCCCTGCGTCTCTCCCGCCCCTCGGACTGGCGCTGCATGTATTATTTAAGCACATATTTATTATTTGTTTATGTTCTAGATGAAGCGCAGCACATTCATTATCATTTGATATAATCAGAGGGTAATACTTCTCATAGTGCTTGCAGCTACACAGGGTTTGGCGTGAGGTGCTATTTATCACTTATCAGCTGTATAATGTATTGCTGGGATTTGTAGTCCCCCTACAGCTGGTGCCATTCTGCATTAGAGTGTAAGCTCCTCTGTACAGAGACTGATGTGACTGTGGGGGAGCGGACATTAGAGTGTAAGCTCCTCTATACAGAGACTGATGTGACTGGCTCATTGTTCTCTGTACAGCACTGTGGTATATGTCAGAGCTATATACATGTATAATAAAAATAGAGTGAGACTGGGGAGAGTGTAAGCTCCTCTGTACAGAGACTGCAGGGGGGGTTGGGAGGCCAGTGAGATCCACTCCCACCACCCCCTTTTGGGAGGTGGGGGCCTAAGATCAAATCTTGCACCAGGGCCCTTTATTCCTTAGGCCCTCCACTGTTTTTTCTGTTGGTATTAAGTGCAGTACAGCACTTTGTACAGTCCGGGCCCCCCTCCCCCTGTAACTTGGTACCTTCCTATACATGCAGGAAGGGGTTTTCAGGAGGCGGAGCTTGGACTGTAGCAGGCTTCTCCAAAGAGCGATCAGGAAGTGGAGCAGAGTCGCTTAAGTGGTAAGTGTTTTAGCAGTCCGACGATGGGGGTGGGGATGAAGAGCCTTCACAGCCTGTACAGAGCCCGCAGTCCACTTGAGAGCCCACAGACATCCCGAACTGTCAAATATCTGGTTGGAGACCTATAGTTGAGGAGGCTTCCCTTGCAGCTTGAGTCCCTCGCCCCTGGAGATGGGAACAGAGGTGGAGAGACAACGAGTAGCACGAGTTCCTAAGGATGATGAGGACACTGTGCAGTGCTGAAAGTCCAGGATCTGGGACTGGAGTAGGTCAAGCAGAGCTGACGTCAAACCGAACGGGCAGCAGGGTACCGGAGCAGGAGAAAGTAGCGTTGTTAGATGGAAGCCAAGGAGTCAAAGCCAGCCGGGCAGTGAAGTACAAAACAGAAGGCAGAGAGAAGTCCAGTAAACAGGTCGAGGTCAGGAGGCGGGCAGCAATCAGGGGTGGTCAGGAGCAATCCGGGTCAAGTACAGGAAACAGGAAATCAGCAGAATCACAGGCACACAGGGAACTAGCTGAAGATAATCCAGCAACTAGGGATATGGCAGGTTAGTTTAAATAGGCCAATCCATTAGAGGGAGAAGCATCACTTCCTGTGCGACTGACGTGCTCATGGCTCCGTGCGCAAGTCTGTTGTGCCCACGTTCTCCAGCTACACGGAAAACGGGATTATGTGCCTGCGCAGAAATAGCTGTTATCTTACACGCACAGAGCCTGCAGCCCAACTGAGAACCTGTACAGCCTTGTTTTTTTTCTTAGATGTGCTAGTGGATAGGTGAGGGGCGGTTAGTGTTAGGAGAAAAGGGAGTGCGGTTAGTGTAGGGTCCTGCTCAACATATTTTTTGGCCCAAATATATTTCCTTACTCTTAAATATTGAATGCACTGAAGCACCCGGTGGGACAGCCAGTGGATGGACTTGGTGGGAGGGTCAGTGGGTGGAGTCAGTGGACAGGCCTATGGTGTGTTGGCTGGGGGTGGCAGGGCTGTGTAGCAGCCAAGCGATTAACACACACTTCTGAGATTCCTCAAGTTATCCTACAAGCTAGAAATACATAAAAGAGAAGCCATATCAGTGTTCTGAATGTGACAAAGCTTTTATATGTAAATCAAAACTTATTTTACACGAGAGGGATCACACTGGAGAGAGGCCGTATCAGTGTTCTGAATGTGACAAATGTTTTAAAACAAAAACACATCTTAATAGACACCAGAAGATTCACATCGGAGAGAAGCCATTTCAGTGTTCTGAATGTGGCAAAGCTTTTAAAGTAAAGGAAGGGCTTATTCTGCACCACATGCACCACACTGGGGAGAAGCCATATCAATGTTCTGAATGTGGTAAAGCTTTTCGACAGAAGCCAATACTAATCCTACACCAGAGAATTCACACTGGAGAGAAGCCATATCAATGTTCTGAATGTGGTAAAGCTTTTCGACAGAAGACATTACTAATCAGACACCAGAGGATTCACACTGGAGAGAAGTCATATCAATGTTCTGAATGTGGCAAAGCTTTTAGAGAGAAGTCACTACTAATCACACACCAGATGATTCACACTGGAGAGAAGCCATATCAGTGTTCTGAATGTGGCAAAGCTTTTAGAGAGAAGCCAATACTAATCGCACACCAGAAGAATCACAATGGAGAAAAGCAATATCAGTGTTCTGAATGTGACAAAGCTTTTGTATGGAAGAAATCACTAATCATACACCAGAGGATTCACACTGGAGAGAAGCCATATCAGTGTTCTGAATGTGACAAAGCTTTTAGAGAGAAGGAAGCATTAATCGCACACCAGAGTATTCACACTGGAGAGAAGCCATATCAGTGTTCTGAATGTGACAAAGCTTTTCAATGGAAGAAATCACTAATCACACACCAGAGGGATCACACTGGAGTGAAGCCATATGAATGTTCTGAATGTGGCAAAACCTTTAGAGAGAAGACAAAACTAATCACACACCAGAAGGTTCACACTGGAGAGAAGCCATATCAGTGTTCTGAATGTGACAAATATTTTTTATGGAAATCATACCTTATGAAACACCAGAGGCTTCACACTGGAGAGAAGCCATATGAATGTTCTGAATGTGGTAAAGCTTTTAGAGAAAAGGCAATGCTAAAAGCACACCAGAGAGATCACACTGGAGAAAAGCCATATCAGTGTTCTGAATGTGACAAAGCTTTTGGAAATAAGACAATACTAATCGTACACCAGAGGATTCACACTGGAGAGAAGCCATATCAATGTTCTGAATGTGGCAAAGCTTTTAGTGAGAAGACAAAACTAATCAGACACCAGCGGATTCACATCGGAGGGAAGCCATATCAATGTTCTGAATGTGACAAAGCTTTTAAAACAAAAACATGTCTTATTGGACACCAGAAGATTCACACTGGAGAGAAGCCATATCAGTGTTCTGAATGTGACCAATGTTTTGTATGGAGAACACAACTTATTGCACACCAGAGGATTCACACTGGAGGGAAGTCATATTAGTGTTCTGAATGTGACAAAGCTTTTAGATTGAAGCTACAACTAGAGAAACCATTTCAATGTTCTGATTTTTGACAAAGCTTTTAAAATGAGCTCAAAGCTTATCAGACACCAGAGGATTCACAATTCAACTTCAATTTCAGAGAGGAAGCTCTGGGAGAAGTGGGGATGTTACAAGAGTAGCAGCTAACCCGCAATGAACAAGTTGGGGGTGTCTCATTTCATACCACATCATCATCATCTGGGAAAGCCTTAGAACATTTTGGAGATACATTTGGACAACCACCAATGACTGATCATGATCGCCAACATTCTCTGAACATGTAATGCATTTGCATGATTTACTGACTGTGTTCCCAAGAGCTTTCTTAATTGCCAAATCCTGAGCTAATAGATTTATAACTCTGCCTTAGTACCGGAGAACGGGGAGTGGTCACTAAGGATGTGGCTTAGGTTCACTTTGACCATCAGACCAAACCGAACCCAAGCTGTCCTAAAACCAAAGACGTGGGCTTTGTGCAATGTCATTGGCTGACTGATGGCTGAGACACACAGCGTCATTGGCTGACTGATGGCTGAGACACACAGCGTCATTGGCTGACTGATGGCTGACAATAAGTAAGTACTATCCTTGTCGCACTCCTTACCGATATGTCCGTTGTAGTGGGGGGTGCTCGCAGTGACCGCGGATGGCGCCGCGAATGTCAGCAAAATTGTAGAAATGTCACCAGCACACCAATCCTTTTAAGATAGCAAAAGCTTCATTTATTGAAGTTTTTTGTCATATGACCAAACAAGCGCTTTCGGGACCGCGCAGGGTC